TTCTAATTTAGAAACTATGAATTGCATTTTGTAAAGATTCGGCCTACCTCGTCTAAAACTCGCATGCAAATTTATTTTAACTTGCTTTGATGGGACCCCGACGGGTCTTTAATAAAAATTATCTATCTATCTATCTATCTAAATTCGGAGCATTCATCCGGCCGCATTTGGAGTACGGCATACAAGCCTGGAGACCGTGGGCAGTTGAGGATCAAAACTGCCTCAGAAGAGTTCAGGGGAGAGCCACGAAGATGGTTAGGGTCAAAGCTCCTTTCCTTATTTAACCCTCCTAGCAAATCTGAACCTCTTTCCTTTGAGTTACAGGCAACTTCGTGGGGATCATTTGCAAGCCTTCCGCATTGTAAAGGGTTTGGATTGCAGTCCGGCCTTCGAGGACATTTTTGAATTTGCTACAACGACCAACCTCCGAGGCCACCCGTCTTAACTGCGAAATCAGCAGGCAAGGTTGTATGTGCGGAAGTTCTCCTTCTCTGTTCGAGTGGTCAAAGCATGGAATGCCCTCCCCGCAGATGTTGTGACGTCACCTTCTTTACAAAGTTGTAGAAAGAATCTTGACATATTTATGTTCCGAAATGACCAAGAGCGATGAGAAATAGAGCTCACCCCCTGTAACTCGTTCTGATTTTGTCCTACCATTATGGACGTGTTTGAACTATTTCAGTCCAGAACATTTATCTGTATAGCACACATTTTTTACGTTGCAAATAGGGTAGTCAAGGGCTTACGCCTATTTCCCCCAATAAACTGAACTAACCTGAACTTCAGGAAGACCACGGTTAAGTCCCTTCTCGCCCCAGAACTTTTATACAAACTAGGTGGGTTGGCAGCCTCTCCCTTCTGCTTATTCGAAGAATACTTTGGAGCCCTTCAACAGATATTTCATTCGGAGTCAAACCAGGCCGTGGAAAAACGGCGGTTCTTCAATAAAATCCAACGGGAAGGTGAGATTCTGATGAATGTCTACATAGAATTAAAATACCTGTCGCTTCGCGCCTTTCCACCCCACGGCGACAAAGACCTAACGTTTTGTCGCATGATGTCGGGTATACGCGACCGAGAACTAGCAATGATTTTCACCAACCGTCCACCGGCCAACGTCAAGGAGGCTCTCGACTTGGACGCGGCTCGACGCACCCAATACCCCTTGGCTAAGGAATCTCACGCCACCAGAGGCCAACTACGTGCGGTCGCCCACTCAACCTTCAAGGTCTGTCCACACCCTACCACACCCATTTAAACCGCCCTTTCAACCTCCAAAGTTCCCAGGTCCGCCGAACAACACTCACTGTTACTATTGCAACCGCTTCGGCACAGTCGCCAAGAAATGCGGCCACAATTCAGGCAACCATCCCTTACCCCTGGCCACTTTGTACACCCTTTCCCCTGATTTCAAGCCATTGACAATCTCGGGCACAGTGGCAAATAAGACACTCAGCATTCTTATAGACACGGGCGCAGCCGTCTCCCTGATTCACATTAGCCTCATCCATGGACCAAACTATAACCAGCCGGGATTTCCTCAACTACAGATTCTCACTGCTAACAATTCCATCCTCCAGCTCAGCGGCTCCGCCACAGTACCAGTCCTCATCAAAGACAAAACTATCCGACATCGCTTCCTCGTGTCCTCCGAACTCAAATGGAATGTCATACTCGACTTTGATTTTCTAAAACAGCATGCTCAAGCCATTACCTCCTCCCCACTTCTCCGTCCCTGATCCTCAAAGACGACAAGGAAACCGAGGACGTAAACAGTATCGAAAACGATACACGACCGCCTCTAGACACTTCTTACACTGAAGACATCCTACCGGACATTTCGGCCGGTGACCGTCGCGCCCTATAGCACGCGTTGGTACCGTTCAGATCCGTTTTCACCTGGGCAGGCCAGGCTATTGGACGGTCCAACGTAGTTCAACACCGAATAAACACAGGATCCATTAGACTCTATGTCGACTACAGACGCCTGAAAGCAGTCACGGTCGGAGATGCCTTTCCTCTTCCCCGTATGGACGACCTCCTAGTCTCTCTGGCAGGAAAGAACTTCTTCACTATCCTCAATCCCTCACCAAACTACTGGTAAATAGAAAAACATCCATAGGATCGAGCCAGAACCGCCTTTTCCATGCCCTCGGAATTCTTTGAGTTCACCACACTACCTATAGGCTTGGCCGATGCAGCGGCGACCTGCCCATGCCTCGTGCAAAAATTACTCAAGAACGTATGTCTATTGAAGTGCCTTGTTTACCTAGACGACGTCACAGTGTCAGTCAGTCAGTCAGTGTATTTGAGGGAAATAGGCTTACGCCTTTGAACTCCCTTTTTGTACATAAAAAAATCGATAAACAAGCAAAAATGTGAAGAAGTTACAGCATTAAGTGAATGTATACATTGATTCACATATGTCACTAGTTACTTGGCTAAAAAGTCACATAGTCCGCTTGTTGCTGCAGCATATATTTGTCAAGGCG